CTCTTCACCCAACACTTCTGCTCGAAATGGAAGTAATCCCAACAGACACAAGTTTGTCTCATCCGAAATCCCATTGAAAGTATCATCTCAAAAGACCTGGCCTATCGTGGCGTTAGAGCCAGGCCCAAGTGAAGGGTTACGTTTGACGATTGTCTTGGATCACAGCGCCATTCAAGAGGTTGCCGTTTCTGGTCGCTGTCTCTCCTTCAGGTCGCAGGCCGCTCCGGACGACGCCGACAAGTGCATCCCGTCGGGGACAACCGGGAGGCAGACCAGGCGCGACCAGCCCCGACGGCACCTGCTCACTCGCCACTGGCCCGGCAGCCAGCACTGGCGCCAGTTCGCGCTGTCGCGTCAGCTGGACCTGCTGCCTCCCGGCGTCTACCGCAGCTACCTGCTCGGCCGCGGCCCGTCCGGCTCCGGCAGTCTGGCCTTGGCCGCGGCGGGTTCGTCGCGTGCCCTCGGCCGGGCCAGCCTCGACCTCGGGCTCGAGGCGGAGCCGGCCGAGGCCGTCGCCTACCTCACCGCGTCCGCCCGTCTCCCGGGCTCCATCAGCTCGTCCGCCGGCGACCTCCTCCTGCCGCCCCACGCGACCGGCTCCCGCCGCACCGGCGGCCCGTACGCCAGCCTCACCCGCACGCACCAGCACACCTTCCCGCGCCTCCTGGCCGCCATGCACCCGCCCATCTCACCCTCGTCCACCGCGCCCATCCTCCTCGATACCGCCGAGGGCGCGGCGCGCCCTAGCGACCGATGCCCGTCCGTGGCCCACCTACAGACGACCTACACTCGCTACAGCCCCCCCGTCCCTATGCCCACGCATCGGGCCGTCTGCGCCTCCGGCTCGCTCCACTCTCCGACGACGACGCACGCGTCGCACCGCGACCGCGTCGACTTGACGCGGGCCGCAACCGGTCCCGTCTCCGCCGGCTGCTCGGCGCCGTTCGCCTCTCGCCTCTCCGCCTTCGCCCCGGTCGGCCAGGGCAACCAGGCGAGCTGGGTCGCCGGGAGTGAGCAGGAGCTGTCCGAGTTGACGGGCAGATGCCCCGGACCGCCGCCCAACCAGACGCTCATCCACAATGTGCCCGCGACTCCGGGCTCGGCCAAGACGGTCCGCTTCGCCGGCGGCGTCCTCAGCAACGAGTGGCCAGAGGCGTCGCTGCATCCTTTGCTGCCGACGCTGCCGCCCCCCTCCGCGTTCTACGGCGCCAGCCCGGCCGGCCGACTGCCGTACAGGCCGACCGCGCCGAGGACCGTTCTGCTTTCGGGGCAAGAGGGCGTCTACGAGCGCGGCGACAGCCCGCCGGAGGGCGAGGCCTGGCCGGCGCCGGAGAAGCCTCTGCCGGCCAGCTTCTCCGTCTCCTGCCTGGACCAAGCCGAGGCCGCAGCCGGGCTCAGGCCTGGCAACGGAGGGCCGAGCGAAGATGGCCCGTGTGGAGACAGGAGGACAGGGTTTAGCTATTTCGCCGAGCAGCGAAAGGACAACTGTCCTCCTCTCGACGACGCAGGCGAAAGCCTCCTGTTCACGGGCCCACGAGCCAGCCAGGAGTCTTTTTGCTACAAAAGATCACTCGTCCCGACAACACCCAGCAGCGCAGCTTTGCGGAGAAAGGAGACGTCAACCTACCCTGAGTCTTTTGGCTTGACGCCAGCGAGTCTACGTACCGAGTTGTCTGGTCGGCCAATGGCCGAAGGGGGCCAATTCCTTGGCGCCGCTTATGCGACACCGTTGCCATCGTCGCGGGCCTTGACCCCGGGTCTGCTGCATGGAATGTACAAGAGCACGACCATGCGGCATCTGAAGCGGTCCTCAGGAGGACAATGTGAACGTAGGTCCTCCTTTCCCTAGCACACAAGACTGCATTCCTTAAGTTATCTCTATCACCCCTCGCTTCATACTAGTCGGAGTCCGATATGGCAGCAGGACGAGTAGTGACCGTTTATAGAGTTACTCGGCGCAATTGGCTAGCATGTAAAAAACATGCAAGTACTGAGATTGATATGAAAAGTAAATAATCACACCTTTCTGTATCTATCTATGCATATCTCTATGCATTACTTTCCTTTTCTGTTACCGTTATGATGGCATGCACAGCATGTAAGGAAGGGCCGCTTAGTCTTCTGGATTCAATGGTAGCCCGTAGTTTTTGTAAGAATGAAATCAGGCCTTGATGGTGTCTGTCAAGCGGCGAGACAGACGAAAGCTCAGCCAGCAGGCACCGTTACCGAAGAAGGAGGCTTCGTGGACTATGCCAAAATGAAGGTCAAAGTAATTTATAGTGGCCACATACTCGCGAATCCCTTTATCAGACACTTCCACACGGAATAAATGTCTATGATTCACCAAATACTGAGATTGGGTCAAGCCTCTTATCAATGATGGAAGTTAGCACCGTCGGTAAAAAGAAAAGGGAAAAAAGGATAAAACGTCCATCATCAGACTAATACTATGCAAACTGTTTCATCAAGGCCTATTATTTTAGACATCAAGAAACTATTGGTCCGAAGAGAATACCAGTTGCTTCACTAAAACAATTATCATCAGGACTAAAAGCATCTTCAATCGCCACGTCCAGAACCTGCCAGAAGTTTGATTTATTCGGTGTGTCAGCTTACTCTGTCAGCACTTCGTCCACAACCAGTCTGAGTACACCTTTGATCCTAATTACCTGCGAGAAATAGCATAAACGGCGTTTGGCTTCTTTCCATAGAATTCTAAGGCTTGTAGTTTTTTTTCTTCTAAAGTCGATGGCAAAAGTGCTATCATTTCTTACCAACCGTTTTATACCGTAATTGTTATTAGACAGAGCCTCGCCCTACAAACAGCCCTGACAGTCTCCATAAGTTTATTTATCCCAATGGCGAAACAGAGTACTTATGCTTCCTGGTTAAGCTTCATTCAAGGGTGGCAGAGTGGTCCGGACATTACCAGCCTGATTCTGATAAATTTTTGGCTGTACGTTTCAACCAATCTGCCTTTATTAAAAAAGTCCTACCTAGGCTATATATGCTTGTGCTGTCAACAAGATAGTCACGTTCGTCGAATAACCAATAATCAGATTGCAAGTGGCAACGGAGATTTCTGCTGATAACTTGACTCTTCATGAGTCAAGAGAGGAGTTTGAGTGTTTACGAAAACTTCCAAAACGCTATCACTTAGATTTATCATGGATAAGGACTCGTCATTTTCGATGTAGGAAGCTTGGTCTGATTCTGCCCCAGGGAAGGTTTTTCTGGGCAAATATGACATCAAACGGAGAAATGGGACTGGTTATAAAATACTTGACTTTGATAGTAGTGGGATTTCGACAACCGCAAACATCCACTTCAAGCATTTGGGCAAGTGGACGTTTGGCTACGGATTTACTAAACCCTTGTTTGGCAATTATTTAGAACAGACACTCACCTAGCGACCTCCTGCCCCTGAGACAGATCGTCGTATGATATTCGCAAGCCTACGGACACACTCACACAAGTCCTCCGTCCTCTAGCCAACCTTCTGTCGCCTGGAGATTCATTTGAATGACTGTTCGAACCTATTTTCCTTAAGATAACTATTCAGGGCTCTTGGGGCAGAAATGATATTGACAAAAAAGGCCTCTTAACAACTGGCCCAATAGAATTGAAGAAATAGCTTTGGCGCCACCTCCTAATCTGTTGTGCTACCGAGAATCAAAGTCAGAACCTGTTTATACGTCTTAGAATTTTATAACCAACCATCTTCACAATTGAGCTAGTTTTCTGCGAATATCGAGTCACTTCCACTTAGGCAAGTTCCTGAAGACTTGAAACGTCTCAACAGCGCAGATGGCTCTTTTCGGTTGTATAATAGACCCACTAATTGAATCATAATCAGAGTGAAAAGTTTGAGCCGCCGTTTCATATGACCTATTTTCACCAGGGGAAGCAAAGGCGACTCTCACAGGGCCCAGTGCTAGAACGCATCAAAGCGCTATTCTTTTCCGTCACGGGCAAGGACAGATCATCCCGGAATTGTTAATCTATA